TACTATTTAACAAAGATTCTTTCGAAGATAAAAAAATTAAAGAGTTCTAGTATGTAACATGGAATGCACAAGTAGCACAATAAAATTATACACTAATTGAGCCAAACACTTTGAAATGTAATATCTAATATGCATTGAGAGTTGTAAGGAGATTCATGTAAAAGTTTTACTTATATTAATAATGTTGTACAGATTTTCTGCAGAAAACATTACTCATGATATTGAACTTTTTCATGTAAAAGTAGTTACAGATACTAACATATATCACTTCATAATATACTCACCATAAAAATTATTGGTTGCAGATTCCATTTGTATATTTCCATCTTTCTCTTCCTTCATGTTGGAATCAAGTGACATCATAAGACTTGATGCATCATCAACTCCCTGTATAAGATTGTACACAATAAGACTCAGGCATATACACTGTACAAAAGGAACATAAAAAGAGTAGCACATCAGCCTTATAAAGAAAGTCGGCAAAAATGTATCGAGAATACAATTGGTCAACCTGGACACAACCTGTAACAGCATTGTCTTTTGAAGAAAATCTGTTACCAAACATTTCACAATCATATTACAAAAAGCTTTGATATAAGATTTACATTAGCACTATCAATCCTAAGAATCTTATTTGGAAACAAAGTTACAAAGATTATTGAGACCCATACAAGGCTCCACTGTATGTATACTGTACTTTTTTTTTTTAAAACAAGAGTGGATTTTTACCAATTGATTGTTATGAATGCAGTAACAGGGACTTGTGGAATATCTTGAGCTTTTACAATTGTGTATTAGGGACTTATAAAATATCACGAGATATCAAACTGTTGTGTATTATTTTTTATCTAACTGTGATATTTACTAAGTAAGGCATGAAGATGTCTGCTCCATAGACAAATCCTGCCCCCAGTATAAAACCAATAGCAACAGGGACAAACGCCCACTGCCCTTTATCTCCGTAGAACCCTGAGTGCTCGGCCATTTCTATCGCTGGATTAAGTAGAGACCAGTAGGAGGCAGCTGTCATTACCTGTAGATAAGATGTCAACCAGAAAATAGTTAAATGTTTTATACTGTCTGTTCATGATACATACACTGGGAAAAATGTGCTATACAAAAAAAATTAAAAGAACATTTATATTTAATAAATCTAATGCATTTTTGATGTGAAATCTTTCATACTTTATAACATATAGATGCAATTATCAACCTCTCAAGGAGATCATAATATTGTAGTCAGTGCATTCTTATAACTAAATTAAGAAATAAACCCAAGATAGTCTATCAGTTTCTCTGTGTTTTGAATAAGTATTATTAAATATAAATGCATTTCAGTTTTGAATATTATCAGCTAAGATATATAATCTGACTGGTATTTTTCACATAGGTATATATTTCATGAATCACATCATTCCATGGAAAATATATGGGTTTATTTTCAAGTACTCTACATGTATGATCCGAACATTTAAGTCTATAGTTAAAGGTTCAAATAATTTGAAATCGAGTCAGATTTGATAAATCAGAAGACTAATTTTACTTTGAAGGCAATTAACTGCTAAAAAGTAGGAATTTAGTTGTAATGTCAGATAGACAGATACATGATCAGTTTTTAACGTGATGAACCTTAAAATGTGTAATGAAGCAAATATGTGAATATTCATTAAATGTTAAATTTATGTTTATTAAAGCTCAAGGATGCAGTGTAAAATCATTCTGAAATTATTAGCAATTGCCTTCTTATATTTAACATATCAAGCTAGCTGTGTAAATAATTTCAAAGCAATCCTTTAAATACATTTTGAATTTTAGGAATATATAATTAAATAGTCATACCCCAGCTGCAAATCCCAGACTAGCATCCAGAACTTTTCTCTGAAAAAGAGAATTAATTAAAGATGAGCATAGCAGTTCAGCTAGAATATTTGATAGAATACAAGAGGCCCATGGGCCACATCGCTTACCTGAGAAGCTTTGACCATTCTGCTCTTTACCAGATTTCCCCCTTGTAATACATAATGCATCCCCACCCTACCCCACTGATCATAATTTAGACATTTTGAAATCTACACTACCCCAGGATCCTTCCTTGTGCACATAAGTTTCAGCTTTTCTGGCCCAGTGGTTCTTGAGAAGAAGATTTTCAAAGATTTTTCCTATATATTTCTATGTAAAACTTTGATTCCCAATTGTGGCCCCGCATCCCCCGGGGGTCATGATTTGAACAATTTAGAATCTACACTACCCCAGGATGCTTCCACATAAGTTTCAGCTTTTCTGGCCCAGTGGTTCTTGAGAAGAAGATTTTCAAAGATTTTTCCTATATATTTCTATGTAAAATTTTGATTCCCCATTGTGGCCCTGCCCTTCCCCGGGGGTCATGATTTGAACAATTTAGAATCTACACTACCCCAGGATGCTTCCACATAAGTTTCAGCTTTTCTGGCCCAGTGATTCTTGAGAAGAAGATTTTCAGAGATTTTTCCTATATATTTCTATGTAAAACTTTGATTCCCAATTGTGGCCCCGCCCTTCAACCGGGGATCATGATTTGAACAAATTAGAATCTACACTACCCCAGGATGCTTCCAAATAAGTTTCAGCTTTTCTAGCCCAGTGGTTCTAGAGAAGAAGATTTTCAAAGATTTTTCCTATATATTTCTATGTAAAACTTTGATTCCCAATTGTGGCCCCGCCCTTCCCCTGGGGGGTCATGATTTTTACAATTTAAAATCTACACTACCATAGGATGCTTCCACATAAGTTTCAGCTTTTCTGGCCCAGTGGTTCTTGAGAAGAAGATTTTCAAAGATTTTTCCTATATACTTTGATTCCCAATTGTGGCCCCGCCCTTCAACCGGGGATCATGATTTGAACAAATTAGAATCTACACTACCCCAGGATGCTTCCAAATAAGTTTCAGCTTTTCTAGCCCAGTGGTTCTTGAGAAGAAGATTTTCAAAGATTTTTCCTATATATTTCTATGTAAAACTTTGATTCCCAGTTGTGGCCCCGCCCTTCCCCTGGGGGGTCATGATTTTTACAATTTAAAATCTACACTATCACAGAATGCTTTCACCTAAGTTTCAGCTTTTCTGGCCCAGTGGTTCTTGAGAAGAGATTTTTTAATGACCCAACCCTATTTTTGTCTTTTCTTGATTATCTCCCCTTGTGAGGGGACTTGGCCCTTTATTTTAAAAATTTAAATTCTCCTTCACCCAAGGATGCTTTGTACCAAGTTTGGTCAAAATTGGCCCAGTGGTTCTTGAGAAGAAGTCGAAAATGTGAAAAGTTTACAGACGGACAGACAGCCGGACGACGGACAAAATGTGATCAGAAAAGCTCACTTGAGCCTTCGGCTCAGGTGAGCTAAAAAATTTTAGCTGAAAAAGTTAATGTTTTTTATTTAGTTAAAGATATTATGCATCTACATCTGACATCAGAATACAGTTGAGCCTTGGTATCTTGAACACAGACATCTTGAATACCATTGAATACCATCGCAGTGATCTGGAGATCTTAGCTACTTATATATATATTTAAGTATTTTAACCTGGAATCTCAAATCCTTTGATATCTCATTTTTTTCTTAGCTTTTTCAGCTAGGAAAAGTGTCATGAGATGTAAAACCTTAATAAAGGTGTCCATTTCATAACGTTCACAAGTTTTTTTGAATATGATCATTTTCCAATCAAATGATATGTAGAATGTAAACTGGCTGAAACATTCAAGAAAAATTCTTAACTTTTTTTTTTTTGATAATTAATTTCCCAATTAATTACCGTATTTCCAGGTTTTTTTCGCGATGATCCATTTTTTGCATTTTTGGCGACCATTTTTATTTCGCAAAATATAAAACAAACAGAAATTATCTCAGCTATAATGTGACATAAAAACATTACCATTTTAAACAACAAAATCTTCAATCGTAAAAAATAACTTACGCAAAATAAAAACTGTACTAATCTTCCCCTTTTTCACAAAATTTCCAACACACGAAAAAACGGATATAAGGTAATATCTAGAATGTACATGTAAACTGGCTGAAAACATCAAGAAAAATTCATAGGAGACAAAAGAAAATGGGAGCAGGGACAAATGTACTAACTTTTTAGTGTATTGGTCCCTGATTGTGCTGATTTAAGGTAGTGAAATTTTTCCTGTTGAAATTCCTCTCTTTATCTTATAGAGTACATGTGGTCAAATAGAAAGAAGACAAAATCTTGTGACAACCCTCTGTGATTGCATCCTCGCAATGCCAGGGGTCTTGAGTGAACACCTTGCCATTGGACCCCTATCATATTTCATTCAATATGTTATTCTTAATATCCGTTGGCTTACTGATGTGACATCTTTCAGAAAAATTATAAATCTGATTGTTTTTCACATCTCTTAACCAATCAAAGTAAATCATTTTATGATAAACAACTTGTAACACATGCATTTGAAGTGTAAACTGAATTCTTTTGTTACGTTATCTAACTGTTTATGAAATGTTTTGATTGTGCCCCTCCAATATAAGAGAAGCAAGCCCAAAAAAATCTAATGAAACATTTGCAAGGGGTCCAACAGAAATGTTTTGACTGAGAACCCATTGCAAGGATGCTGTGATTGCATGAGACCAGAAACAATATTTCATTTTGAAGACCTATCTTCAGGTCCAGTACAATCTCTTACTTTAGCTAAGTAGCTTTAAATAGCTATATGGTTTTATCAAGCTATTCAAAATAGCTTTATTTAGCTATTTATATACAGTTTTTCACAAAAATGTTTTTTTTTGCTAGAAATAAACAAAAAGTTGTATGTATTTTACTCTTCATATATTCACTATGGGCTATCATAACAACAGCCAAAATCGAAGATAGTTCTAACATTACAGCTTTTGAATACTTTTAAGCAAAAAAAAAAGAATTTCTATTGTTAGAGTAACTGTCCATGGTTTACGTTATTCTCATTGAGAAGTCGATGGCTCGTTTCAAGGGGGAGTATTGAAATAAGCCATCGACTCCCTCAAGTGGGAGTATTGAAATGAGCCATCGACTTCTCAATAGAGAATAGGTTTATGTGTGTGTTGAGGCATGGATAAGTATGATTGCTTCTCATTGTGCTGAACTGATACAAATCATTTATCTTGTTGACCATAACTGGTCTCTATAATTTCATTGCAGAGGTAACTTTATCAATTGCTTTATATAGCCACAAAACTTGTAGAACTTTGAGTACAAAGTCTCTCAAGGAGACGCTATTTGATGAGTGATTTCTACATGCATTATTTTAGTAAGAAGAGTTCAAGATTATATATCATCACTGCAACAAGGTGTGCTTTTTTGTACATACTGAGACAATTATACCTTTGAGAAAAAAAGTGTTGTAAAAAAGCTAATTTAAGCTATTCTGAATAGCTTAATAAAGTTATAGGCCTAGCTATTTAAAGCTATACAGCTAAATCAAGAGGTTGTATTGGACAAGATTTTTAAATTCAGAATATATAAGAAATTATTTTAGAAAAGCTTCAATCGATATTTCACTGCAGTATAAGGGTTTTTCTGCGAAGGAAAGGGAAAAGAATTGTGACTGAATTGGGACTCAAACTCGTTTCACTACCATGAGCAGGTGCGATGGTGATGTGTCAAGATTTGGATTGAGGATTGATCTGCAAAAATAACATGTAATCATGCAATGACGTCATTTGAAATACCTGACTGCTGTGAAATACAAATACTTAGAGCAGCCCCTGCTGCTGTCAGTCCCCAGGTGAAGAGTGTACCCAATAAAGTTTGAAAAACCGCATTGTAACCTGCCAACATCGTTGAAAAAAGTCACAACAGGAAGTGGGGATATTTCTACCTTCTGAGACAGGAGAACAGGACACACTAAAGACCGTCTCTACCAAAGAACTGACAATTCTTTCTTGACCATCACAAACTACGATAAAATATTTTTCGTAATAAATAATACACTAATTCTTGTATCATTTTGTTACTGATTTGAACTTTTAATTACATTATGATTTACAGTGATTAATTTAAAATATGAAAGGGAAATAACTTCTTTCAGTAGAATGTAAATGGCCAAGCAGCAAAGTACGAAATTTATGTTCATATTACCATTTACCCTGTTTACTTTCTATATGCTCAAGAGTAGGAAAAGATTTTCAAAGAAAAAAAAATATGGCTTTATTGCATTTTCACTATAAATTCCTCATAGCTCCACTTAAAAGTACATGTAACACCAAAGCTTCCGCACAGGGATCAAGAAATTCAAATTTTGAAAGAGACACTATTGTTCATGTGAATTCGGGATAATTAATTAATCAGCCTCGACAAAGGCCATGATTCTTTTCTTTAAGTTTAAAATTGTGGATAGCTGTGACACTTCTGCTATGACAACATTTCTAGCCTTTTTCGGAAAGTTTCAAGATTTTCATTTGATGTTACGTAAAAAAAATACATTAATACAGATTAACCTCGATATCTAGAACCTTAAGACTAATTCAATATTTTTTACTTTTATAGGGATTCCATTTTTAAATTTACTGAACATCTCGGTTTTCAAATATATTCATGTAGTAATTGAGATAATATTTTATCTATTTGTGCTTATGCATGTAAATGCTTGATATGCAAATCAATAGCAAATCATAACCAAGCAAAATATGCTGGCTAGACCAATACAGAAGAAAAAAAAAGATAATATCAAATTGTGTTTGTTATATTTAGTGAAAATATTGCCAGAGCTGTGTTTACCGATACGGACCAAACAACAACAACGCAAAAACAAATCCACACTGCGGGGGAGTTGGGAACCTGGATTTTCTCTCTCTAAGTTCCTGAAGGAAAATAAGATAACATCTCTACCAGCCGATCTTATCATTGATTTGCATTGTGTATAGCATAGGTATACATAATATTACATTCTTGTCACCTTGTATTACTGCCTACAATATTCACCTGTTATTTGTTGTATTGTTTTCGTATCATGGTAAGTGGATTTGTTTTCTTGCAGAGTTGTTGAACGTAAATAAACGAACACCAATATCAACCAT